AATAATTTTTTTTTTGACAACTGACATTTAGTAGCTTTTTATCTGGCTGGAGAAATGCCCCAATCTGAGTTAGTTTTTGTCTCTGCTACTTACAATTACTTCTAAAAGGACCAAAAGTGGCCCTGCTGGTGAGCAAAGCCATCTCTTTCTTTTTTTTTTTTTTTATGACTGAAATTTAAGCTCTACCTCCTGACTTAGGAAAGGGGAACCTTTGAAACTTGAAATGACTTAGGTTATGACATCTGTGACTTAGATAACAAAGTGAGATCTGCTACATGTTTATTCCTTAAAAGTCATTATATCATAACTTTCTGTCATGCCTTTTATTTAAAGGAATAGTTGATAATTTTTAAAGATTTTTTTAAAGTAGCTTTAAATTAGATATGCCCCAAAGACCTAGATGAGCTCAGCTCACAAGTTACTCTTACTTTGCAGGAAGAATTCAGGGATTCACTATTTTGCCTGAAATCACTTCAAATGTTTAATGCAACATGTGGAAACAGGATTTACCTAGACATGTGCATTTACTTAGACATGGCTTAGAGGGGCTCATTCCCAGGCTGTGGTGACTCCTTTGGAATGGTTGAGATTAGACACCCTCCCGTCTCCAGTGCCACAGACACGAGAGGCCGATGCAGTGGGAGACCAGAGAGCTCCTTTAAATTTCTCCAGGGTTGCTACACAGAGGACCCCAGGTATTCTGAACCACGATGGCAGAGTAACTTGACAGACTTCAGACTTGTTTCCTAGGATGGCTCCCTCTTGGGGCTTCAAAAGAATATGCAAATTAGGGAGAGGGTGATGAGCTTGTCCATGCAAGCAATCCACAGGGCAGCTTCTACCATCCTCAGTGACAGGCTTCCTTAATTGACTTCCAGAAACAAGTCTCCTCAGATAGCTGTGTTATAGAATTACTGCTGTGGCTTCCCTGCTTCTCTGAGTTCTTCAGTAAAGAGTCATGAGACTTTGTGAAGATCTCAGCTGATCCCAGGCTTTAAATACCCAGTGGACACTGATGATCTCTGGAGTATGTCTCCAGCCACCTGACTTGTGTCATATAGTTGAGTATGGCCTTGAACACCTTCTGAGTACTGGGATTTCAGGTGTATCATGCCTGGTCATGCAGCAGTGGAGATTAAACCTAGGGCTTTAAAAAATGCTAGGCGAGCAGTGTACCAACTGAATTATAGCCCCACTTCAAATTTGAATATATTTTCAACTGGGTAGTAGACATTTCTACACAGTTTTCAGCTGGATATGTCACGTTTAACATAGATGAAACTGAATTCTCAATCTTTTCTTGCCCTGTCAAACCTGTGCCAACCTAACTATTCCCCATCATGATTGTGGCAATTTCATCCATTCCCCTGACTTCAAAGACAAAAATGCTTGGAATCATCTCATCTACTTTCTTCCTTTTGCATCCCACGACCTGTCCCTTGGATATCATTAAGATTCTACCTTGAGAACAGAACCCATCCCCTTCTCACCATAACCATCCCACTTGGATGCTAGCATCTGTTGTCTGGACCATGGAGGCAGTCTCCTAGCTGCCCCTGAAGCTGGAAGGGAAGGATCCTTTTAAAATGATCAAGCCATGTCACATCTGTGTTTGGTGCCCTTCAGAGACTTCCTCTGTGCTTTTATAGTTGAGGGTCTGTTTGCTCTATATCATGGTGTCTGTATTATCCTGTCTCCACGGGTTCTCTAATGGACGGTTACTCACCATTGTCCTACCTACCATGAAAGCAACTGAAGCCTCTGAAGTTTGTGGAAACTGTCACAAGGCTTATGGTGGATGTGACACCTATCTGGCTAGCTCTAGGTCCATCAGCTTCTGAGCTACAAGACCATTGGTGAAGCTTGGGCTGGAGGATGCTAAAGGCATGTCATTGTCATAGTGTGCCCCAGGATGACCAAGGCATGTCATAGTGTGCCCCAGGATGACAAAAGGTATGTCATAGTAGCCCCTGTATGCTAAAGGCATGCCATCATGTGCCCCAATATTCTCCCAGCTTTGATGTATGTGCTGTTATGTACAAACAAGACAATTTGGGAGGTTATTTCTGCTAGTCAGTCCCATGTCCCTAGAAGGGTCACATTGTGACCCTCTCTGTCTTTCTTTTGTTTAAATCCACACCTCCATTCTATTCTAGAAGTAATGTCATCTAAGCTAAAGGCTAGGGGAAGTTGGTGTTCCCATGTCCCTTTCTGAGACCACACAATGACATGGCCTTTCCCTTACCCACAGGAGGGTGGTAAGTGGCCACTCAGCCAGGAGACTCTGGTCACTGCTTCTTCCTTAGCAGATGACTGCAGGTTCCCTTACACTATGAATCACTAGGTGGTCAGAGCCGGTCTCTAGTTCCCAGGGTCACAGCACATCTGCTGTTACCTGATGCTGTGCTCACTAGGTGGCCTTACTGGACCTAAGCCAGTCCTCTAAGATGCCGTCCCTGAAAGGGGGTTCCCGTGATTTCTTTCTTGGGGACGGAAATGGTTTTAGTGCTCCCCGATGGGTTATGAGACATTTGGTGGCTCACAGCAGCATGCCCGCATGCGTGCGCACACACACCCATACACTCATGAGATCAACATTGGGGCATAGGTCTCTCACTGGGACCTGGGGTTCAATGGTTAGGTCAGGCAGGATGGCTGGCCAGGGATTCCCAGGGATTCACCTGTCTCTGCCCCTGGTGCTAGGATTATAATCCTGCCAGGCCTGGGTTTTTTTACAAGGGTTTATTTAGAATAGGAGATCAGGGCCATTCTTCAGGCATGTATGACAAGCTCTTTAAGGAATAACTATTTATTAGGGCCCTCTTCTCCATCTTGGTCTTTTCTATTAGAGATGTCACATTAGTATATCATGACCAAATCTCATTCAATGATCTGGAGTCTTCTGTCTCAGTTTTTCAGGGGAAGAAGTAAGAACAAGGCTCAATCTCTGACCAGGCATTGAAACAAAATGGCTGGCTTCTGAGCCAGTTAATTGTGAGAATTAGTTTATTCCAGATGGACTAGATTGAAGTCAGCTTATTCTTTTATGTCTCAAACATTGTACTACCTCAGAAGGATATGCTACAGGAAACAGTAAAGTAAAAATAACCAGTTGACGTTTGCTTAATGAACCACAGTCTCACACCTGGGGAACACCAATTCCTCTTTAATTTTTTTCTCCTTTAAATTTTATGTAAATCATACCCAGATGGTTGATAGAATCATAAATTGCTTTTCACAGTATGTGGAAAACTTAGAGATTCATTTTTAAACTATCATAACAAATAGACATTCATATTACTATATTGTTTGCAGTGTATGTGTGATATGTGTTGTGTGAGTGTGTATGTGAGTGAGTGTGTATATGGTATGTGATAGTATGTTTAGTATGTGCTGTGTGTGATGTGTGTGTGAGAAGTGTATGTAAGTGTGTGTATATATGGGATGTGATAGTGTAAATGTGTGTGGTATTTGGTGTGTGTGTGCTCAAAGGGTAGCCTCTGGTAGAGCAGCTTCATCATGCCCAGGAAAGTCAACTCACTCCCCAGCTAGTACAAAGCGTCTGGGCATGTGGTAGACGCCCTGTGGCGAGCCACCTAAGGTAGATAACATCCTGTATCGATCCTTCATTGTACCTCATGTTACCTCAGGCCTACTGGACCTAGGAAACTCCTTCCATGTCTGACAACATGCAGCTCCCAGGGGTTCCCCAGGCCAACACTGTTGCTTCACAGAAGTCTTCAGAGAGATGACTTCAAATGAGTGGAGTCTGTCTCTGGTGGCCATTTGCTCATGCTTCCCCTGATGGCCCAGCTGTGTACAGTGTCAGGGTGGGTCTGTATGGTGGAGCAAACAACTCAGTCATCAGTGGGTGAGGTGAACCAGGCATGCTAGCAAGCCTCTATAGTCATGCCAAGACCCCAGGCTTGTGTGTCTGACCACCCGTCCTTACACTCTGTTTCTCTAGACTGCTAATAGTTTCCTCTTAGTCTTTCCTTTAATTTTTAGTGTGTGTGTGTGTGTGTGTGTGTGTGTGTGTGTGTATGGATGTGTATGTGTGTACACAGATGTGGAAGTCAGAAGACAACTTGTGGGAGTCTGTTTCCCCGTTCTGCCATGTCTGTCTCAGGGATTGAACTCAGGCCATCAGGCATGGCAGCAAATGATTTTCCCTCTGAGCCATCTCACTGGCCCAACACAAACTGTCTTTGCTTTATCTTTCATGTTCATAAACTTTTTCCAGCTTCTCCTCTGTTGGGTTGAGCCCTTTAAAGGCCCTTACAAATTAATTTTCTAAGTGATACATGAAAATTATTTTCTTTGTTAAAAAAATGAAAACTTCCGAATTACAGCTAAAGTCCATTTTATTCACCCTCACACTGCTGCCCCAAAGTCCCTGTCCCCCAGAGGCCTCTCTATCCAGAGACCACTGCTGTGATTGGGTGTGTGTCTCTTGCTAACTCTTTTTCTAGTAGATGGAGACCAATGGAAGTATGTTATCCTCGAGCTCCCTTCACCCACACGGCTTTGTATTGTCACCCATATTAGCCACGTTGTCTGTACCTATCATTCTGCACATCTTATTCAGAGACAGTTGAACCTTTCTGTTCCTGTCTCCTCCTTATCCCCTTCATCCTTCCTCTCCCTCCTTTCTCCCTTGTCACTCTCTCTCTGTCCTTTCTTCGAGATCCCAAGTTGGCTGCAAAGTCCAATCCTCCTGGGTTAGCCTCCCAAGTGCTGAGAACATTCAACCTGCTTGGAGATCTTTCAGTGGCATGGAGATACATACATACATATGGACACATGTACATACATATATATGTATGTGTGTGAGCACATGTGAGCATGTGTGTGTGCATGTCTAGTTATTTGCCATAAATTATTTTTCAGCCATGCTGTTTTGTCAGTTGCACTCATAAAAGATTTTGATGACTTCATTAATCTGTGATTCTTTTTGTAGAAGAAGACTGCAGAATTTCACTCTTTGTTTCTCTCTTCAGGTCTCAGAAGACCGAGCTTCACAATGAAGGCTACATCTTGGAACTGGATGACTGCTCCTCCTTAGAACACCTGGCAGCCCAGAAGCTTGTCCCAGAGTTCATTAAGAAGGTGAGCACCACAATGAGACGAGAGGGATGGACTCACAGAACAGGCTGCTAAGTGGGCAAACTGGAGAGCAGGTAGAGGGGTCAGCCACACAACAGAGGAAAGCTTGGAAGATGGCTTTTCTGCCCAGGCTGGGGCGACCTGATGTCTTGTCTTGTAGGCAGTGTCCAAAGAGTACTGATACTGATCTACATGCACAGGCCATAGGTTGCCTTTTTTGTTTGGTTTGGTTCATGTGGTCTAAGCTGGCTTCAAAGTCACTGTGTAGCCAACAATGGCCCTGAACTTCTAATCCTCATGGCCTTTGTTTCCAGAGTACTGAGATTATGGATATGTATCACCATGTCTAGTTTATGCGGTACTGGGGATTGAACTGAGAATCTTGGTCATGTTAGGCAAGCATTTTCCAAACTGAGTTACAGATCTTGCTGCTTTGTGTTTTAAATTAAATTGTGTGTATGTGTGTATGCGCGCGCGCATGTGTGCACATGCATACAGAGAGGGAGGTAGAGGGTTCATTGTAAATTAAAGATGAAAGAGTCTAGTTCAGCAGACACATAGATCAGTAACAATTCTGGTTGCAAGTCTTACCTTCTGTGCACTTACAGATATTAGACTTTCTTATGACTGGTTACAAATACGATTTTTTTTTTTTTTTTACACCAGCACTACCATGGGTATGTGAGTGATGTGGTATTCAATGGCACTGTGGCAGCTTTGATGTCACTAGGTAATAAGAATTTTTTAATGCCTTTATCATCTCATGGTACCACAGTGGCACCTGAGGCCCTTGTTGATGTCACAAGGAACTTGACTGTAATTGACCTGCACAGGTCCAGGCAGCCAGTCATTGAACTTGCTGGTAAATCTTGTTGATTGTCCGCTCTGAGCCAGGAATAGAACTAGTTTCTGGGATACAGAGAAAAAACTCACTGTGGTGATGACGGGTGGGTGGGCACAGTGCACAAACACTGCTAAGAGGGAGCAGCTGACCCGCAGGCTGCAGAGGCTGTCTGTGTAGTACAGGGATAGGGAAGGTGCTGAAGCTGAGATGGGAGAGGTGAGGGTTTTGTGGTCATACGATTATGCTGGCAGGTTGGGGGTCTCCAAGCACAGGGACTAGTATCTCCCAGAGACTGAGGCAGCTGGAGCAGGTGGTACTAAAACATCACACACAGAGGCCACCTGGAGAGAGGGGGAGGGGCGTAGAAGAGTCCTGGGAGAGCCAGCCCTCCCCAGAGGACAGGGGACGCTGTGTGCAGCAATGCAATTGTCCTTTGAGGGGTGTTTGTTTCTTCCATTCCTTTGCCTTCAACATTTGTTGAGCATTCGGACCCCCAGGCACTGGGATCAACCACTCACATTGGAAGAAGCCAGGAGCCAGATGAGCTCTGAGGTTCAGATCTAACTAATTTTACTAGCACTCTAGTAGAATATGGGTGATTATTTAGAAATGGAGGTGGGTTTGTCTGTGTTTATACATGCATAGATGCAAGAGCAGTACTGTTTTAAATCATGTAAGTGTCATGTGTGAGTAGGGCCATCTTCTTTGCAAACAATACTCTAATAAAGTTGACTGGGGATATCCTAGAGGCTGAAGCCACTTGATGGCCTGAAACATGTTGCAACTCTTTTGCCTGGGGTAGCCAGGGGTGGGGAAGTTGTTGGAGAGAGGCTCTATATGCCATCCCCAGTGTGCTCATTTGAAAGCTAATTATAGGTGCCTTGATCCTAACCAGACCAGACCATTGTGTGGTAGACCCATTGCATCAGATGTTCAAGAAGCAGTACCCTGCTTTGTGGTCTGTTTGGCTGCTGTGCTTCCTTAACGCAAATTCTGTAACATCTGTATAGGGTCTGAGCCTTGGAGGGTGTCAGCCATATTTCATCTAACTTTTAACTTCTCTTCTCCTAGCGTTCTTTCTCCCCACTCATTATACATGTAAGTGTATAAAGACCACTGTCTAAGCATTCATTCAGTGATTGGTTATAATTGACACCTGCTCATTCTATCTATATGTTTAATAAAAATCCTGGGCCTTATTTATAGTTAATGACTGCTAGGGGAGGGGAGTCAGGTTTGTTTTTGTTGTTGTTGTTGTTCTCTGCCATTCCATGCCCTGGCTCCCATGGCTTGCTGTCATTACTATATATCTGGATCATTATTTCTGTAAAATAATGGCTCCTGCTCCTATGCCAAGTAAATATATCTTCAGATAAGATGGTAATTAGCCCATTTGTCCTTATCCTGTCATGTGACATAAGCTCATATGCGTCTCTGTATATTAGAGTTGAATTCAAACCAGGCAGATTTTCCCCCTTAAGAGCAATGTCCCAACATTATTTTCCCACCAAATGTTTTAAATTAGTGGAATCTTTGGCTAGAAAATGTGACTAGAAAGGGGACTACACAACTTGGAAAATAAAGTCATATTCTCTGTGCCATGTAGACTTTTCTGAGGCTGTTGTCATTTACTGTCCCTTCCCATAGTGATCCTGTCAAGTCAGGAGAGCTGTGTAGAGACCAGCCTTCCTTCCCATGGCCCCTTGAAGTTCTCTGAGTGCTTTTCTGGTGTGGTTAAATCTGGGTTATTGCATTCCGTTTCCCCCTCTCGTATCCTGCAGTGCGTCAGCCAACTGGCCAGTATGTAAATGATTTACTGTGGACCACAGAGTCTGGGGTGGCTTAGCAAGACTGTTTCCAAGGCCCAGAGCCAAGTGGGCAAAGGAGACTGTGGGAGTGACAGTGTCCCCTGAATGCCCTTGGGGCAAGGCCTCAGCTGTTGTCCCAGGGGTGCATCCAGGCTGTCTGTGAGGCCCTCTGACACATCCTGTTCTCAGAGGAGAGTGAAGGAGGTCAGGCCTTACATGAAGGCCCTGAATGTCCATTCATGAAAACATTCAGACCTCTCTGGGCCTTTTTGGGAAAACCAGAGGAGCAGGAGCAAGGATTGCACTCAAAATATTGGCCCAGCTCTAAAGTGATGATGAAGGAGGCTGGAGCCAGTGCCTTAGCTTCCTCTTGTCCTAAGTGAACAGTGGTTCACAAGTGTGCACAGGTGTCACTGGCACACATGTGTAAATGAGAATTGAGTGTGGAAAGCTCTTTGAAGCTTTCTGGGTCACCTCTTGGTCCCTACTAATGTGTCTTCAAAGAAGACCTTGAGCTGGTAGGATGAAGGACTTGCCAGGACCTAAGATTGCTGAAAATGGGGCCTGGGTCTATCCTTCCTGAGGAAAAGAGACACGGGGGTTACAGAGAAGCAAGGTGACCTAGGGAAAGCTCTTGACAGGAGTGGTGTGTAGTGAGGGTTCTGCAAAGGGAGATGGGAGCAGGAGGTAACTGTGCCATTCCTGTGGGGACAAGAGTGTGAAAAGATCCAGGGCCAGGTCCTGTCGCCAGTGTGGGGTGGATGCACAGGAAACAGTGTCTCTTCTTTGTGGAGAAGGGCTTTTGTGATCACGAGGAAGTCTTGCTCTAGCCAGTTCAGCCAGGTTTCTGATGAGGATTCTGGGAATGGCAGGGAGCCTCAGATCAGGAGTAGACAAACAGCAGGATGTCAGTGGTAGGTTACAGCAGATCTGTAATCCTAGCACCCAGGAGGCAAAGGCAGGAGGATCAGGATAGCCTGGGCTACATTGTGAGACTGTCTCGGTGGTAGATCATTTGCCTAGCATGTGCAAGACCCTGGACCCAACTCCTAGCACCACAAAAAGAAAGACATCAGTTTCTCACCCACCACTTCTCTCTCTCTCTCCTTTCCTTCCTCACAGTCCATTTCTGTGGATCCGTAGCTTTGAGAGGTAGACAGGTGTGGCCACTATGCCCAGCTTCCCGGGGTAAGAGCTGCTCCCTCATGCCTGTGGGAGAAGCCACATTCCCTTTCCCCATTCAGGTGACTTTGCACTCAGACTCACTCCCTGAAGAGGGAGCAGGAGACTTAAAGACTTCATGAACCAGGCAAATGTTGCCCTGAAAGAGAAAAACTGTGTGGAGAGACCAGGGCAGCCTGGGCTCTGCCCAGTGGAAGAGAACTCGACCAGACATTCATTGGACTACATTTGACAAAGGACACTGCAGATGCCTTGCTAAGGGGAAAATAATGATAGTTTTGAAGATCTGGGCAAAAACTGAACAGAACCTCAGGACTGACACTTTGCCTGTGGGACAGAGCTGACTCAACATTCACTTCTTAGGGGCTTGTTGAATATTCAGAGTCTCCTCCTACAAGCAAAGTCAGAGTCTAATTTTATTTTTCTAAAGATTTATTTTCTGTTATGTGTATGTGTATGTGCACTGTGTGTATGCAGTTTCCCCGAGTGGCCACAGAAGGTGTCAGGCCTCTTGGAACTAGACTTCCAGGTTGTTGTGAGCTGCCAGATGTGAGACCTGGAAATCTCTTATGGTTTTTGGTCTTCAACCTGACACAAACCTAGAGACACCCAGTTGAGAAATGTTTTAGATCAAGTTGGTCTGTGGTCGTGTCTGTGAGGCATTTTTTATTTGTTAATTGATGTAGGCGGGCCCAGTCCATGATTGACAGTGCCACCCCTAGGCAGGTGGCCCAGGCCGTATGAACCATAGCTGAACCAGCGAGAGGATGCATTCCAGTAAGCAGATTTCTAGTGCAGTTCCTGTATCTGCTCATGGTTGAGTTCTGCCTTGACACCCTTCAGTAATGGACTATAATCAGCATGTGTAAGCCAAATAAATCCGTGCCTCTCCAAGCTGTTTTTGGTCCTGGTGTGTATCACAGCAACAGAAAATAAACAAAACAAAACTCAACTCCAGTCCTGGTAAAAAGCAGCAAGGACTCCTTACCACCCAGCTTCCTCTCCAGACCCAAGTCTGATTTAACTGGCACAAGACTCAGATTGAAAAGCCTTTCTGTTAGAAAGGCTTCCCTGCCCCGACTGCACTCCCTTTGTTCCCAAACCATGAGTTTACGGGAGGAGAAAAAGAGATGGGATCCCAGAATGGAATCCTTTCCTGCCCAGCCTCC